CAAAGGTATCAGCTCAACAGAGCAAGAAAAAGAAATACAGAATTCTGATACCAGTTCTGATTCCTCTTACACCATTTTTACCATTTTGTTTCTCCTAATCAATTTCCTTGTCTATAATAAATTGTGACAGTGCTTTTGCTTGAATATGTGCATAGCATAAATTCTGTAAGCAAATTTAGTAAGCCAGGTTAACGTGATCATGTCTGATTGCTCTTTAAATTACCATCTAAAGACCACTAAGGCCCAACAAGATTTCATTTTGATGTAAGCAGACAGAAGGGTATTGAACAAGCTATTCTTATACAGAGCATATCTTTCATGTTATAATCATCCAGAAATGAGTACTGTGATGTCCTGCATCATGGGAGTCAATTAATACTTTACTAGCAGCAGTCCCTGAAAAAATTTTCATCTTCTTGATGACAGTACTGTGCAAATGTCTAATGGAAATAGTACACGGCTATCTCCAACATTGTTATTTCAGTTGTGGGAATGGAATCTGATAAATTACAAAAAATCCTTTTGACAACTTTAAATGAATATAATTGTGATCAAATTATTAGAAATCTAGTAAAAATACAATTTAAAAAACTAAGTTTAATCAGGATACATTTATGAATAGATTTAAGTGCTTTTTTTTCCTTCAAAGGGTGGTAACTTGAATTCACTGCACTTATTTCTTTTCCTTAAATTTTATTTTTTCTTTCAAGTTAACTCAGAGCTTATGAATAATGCCAAAATGATAGCAACTGCTCTGTAAAATTGTTTGTCTGAACAGATTCAAAGTAAGCAGCGTAAAATTTCCTTTACATACTGCCATATCATCCAGACATTCACCAAGAGGGAAAATAACTATAAAGAGTGTGTATTCAGAGTACAAGTTGATTTAAGTCTGATTGAAGATAGTCAACATTAATTCCATTATATTAAAATTATCCATGATAAAATGCATAAATGAATTCTATGTTCATATTTCAGATGCAGAGGATAAATTACAAGGTTTCAAAAAAAACACGCTGTTCTGGTCACTGATATAGAGCTCTGCTTCCTCCAAATCAGCATTCTTTCTGCTTTGAAACCTTTAAAGATGAGGCTTTCTCAGGACTGAGTCAGATGAAAAATTTTGAAAATTGAAAAATATTGTTACATTACTGTGTACTGCCATAGTGCAGTCATGAGTATTACATTTTTCAGCATACTTTTCCTAAGTATCTGTAGTAGTTTATATGTGAATATGCTTTAATATGACAGAGGTTTAAAGAACAAACTGTTGTAAAACATAGGCTTTTCATTGGCAAAAAAATATCTGATAGGGTGAGGTTCTGGGAATTTTTTTGTTTGTTTGTTTATTTTGTTGTTGTTGTTTTTACATTTGTTGTTGTTGTTATCGTTGTTTTTTCTACACTGGAAAATAGAAGACAAATGGCCACTACATTGAAGAGGACTTTTCAATCTTTTCCTATGCACCCAGTCTGCCTTCAGTACAAGCTACCATATGCCTGTCTGTAAACTTGAGTACAGACAGCAAAAACATTCTCACTGGAAGCAATTGTGAAGGTGTACAACATAAGAAAGATGTGATGCTTTTACACACTAGGAATACAAATACATATATAAAGGGAAGATGCCACATGCAGCACTACTAAAATCTTTGTTAGTATTATCTTCACCTTTTTGCTCTCTTGAACTTTCAGTTTATTTTGCTGCCTCTGCATGTCCCTGTTGAAAAACAGCAATAAAGGCTGCAGATATATCTGTAGTGTTCTGGTGGGGCTGCATCCCTTTCAGCTATCTTTGCATAAGGGCAATTGAAACTGTTACCTTGTTTGTGGGTATAAACTGTGCTGGGACTTGTTCATGCTTGAGGACCTGATCCTCTGATGATTTTTGTCGCCATTCACTGAGACCTGAGCTTTTGCATAAAAAAAAAACCATGAATTTTTTTGTCTTCATCCACACCGGTTCTGTCTTTGCCTGGCCTTCTGGAGCTTCACAGTACCAGGAAAACAATCAAAGCACTGTGAAGTAAATGAGCAAGCCTTATTTTACTCCCAGCACCCTGCTCATTTTCATGGGTCACATGGTAATACTTTAATTTTACTTTTTAGACTAGATCTGCTTAATTAATGTTGAGCAAAGAGGGTTTTCTTCTGTTTATCAATCTGATAGATTTTTATTCCTCTTCCAGATTACACAAGCAGATCCTCAAACTTTAATAATCAGGTTAAATGCTTTTAATGTGTAAGCTTCAAGTGCTATTTCAGAATCACTGCCTGTAAGATAGACTAATCCCCATCAGTTTGTAAACTATATTTTGATTTACAACCTGACATTTCTTGAGACATTTGTCTAAAAACAGACGTGAAAGGAATTAGGTGCACTGGCCGATAACAGAAGACTTTATTGTTGTAAATCTATATTCCCTTACAGAGCGTTTGCAATATTAGCTAGTCACCTCCAACTCTTTAGTGAAACTGTCAGCTGATTTAATAGATACATTAAACTTCTATTTATAAATTACTGTGACACTATTAGTGCAGTATTTCTGTAATAAGTAATATAAATATCCATGCACAGATGTCCTGATATCATGGCTAGAAAAAACCCTTGTGATTTCATGAAATATCCTAGGCTTTATAATATAGTTATTACCACTTTAAAATATAGAACAGTAGCATTATAAAAAAATTAAATTGAAAATATATGCTTTCGGAATAAATGCTTAATTTTGGCTAATCATTTATTTCTGCATATTTAGTTGTGCCATCAATCCAGACCTCAACTGCATATAACGACTTAAAAATTTTATGTGATTTTAAAAAATTGCATGCAATCTAAAGATATTGATTAGGGACTGGTGGGTATATTTTAGTATGTTGGCAATGGTTTGAATTTCTATGAAGCTTGGCTTTTGCTATCTGGATTTAAAAGCATTATTTCTCTGAGGAACTTCTACCTTCATTGAGTGCTTTGTGGAAAATAAGGGGAGAACACAAACATCTTCATCTTGGTTTTGTGTATTTGTTTGTGTTCTGGTTTTGCAAGAGATTCAACAAACATGACATACAAACTGGCAGGGTTTGTTGGGTTTTTCAGATATATTAAAACAAATATTTGATATACATAAAACAAGTTGTGAAAAACATGAAAATAAACATTATCGAACAAAGTTATTACCTAGAATTAATTGCTCCATTGTAGGAGCCTGTGTTTTGACATAAAAAAGGGGTTTGACTTTTTGACTTTCATCAAACTTGAAAAGTGTCCCACAATTTGTAGCAGTTCAAAAAAGTCATAAGAGGTAAAAACATTCCAGGTAAATCTGTGATAAGTGTTACTCATAATGAAAATATGCCGTTAGTTCCAAACTTGCTTATAAACTTAATGTCAGTGGAGCAAAAACAGGACAAAAGAAGAAGCTGATTCATCAGTACTTTGACAATATTCCATTTTGTGCAACATTAACATTATTTTGGCAGTTTAGAACTGACCCTAAATGAAGACCCAAGAAAAGCTTACTAATAGGAATAAAGACTAATGAAAATATAGTGATGCAGCAATTACATCTTTGTCTTTTGACATTAAAGGCACAACAATCACATTGCCTGTGCAACGGCACTAAATGTGATGAGAGCCCTTGTTGGCATCTTCAGCGAGGTGCCAGAACAAAGGTATTGTGTTAGAGAAAGTGTAACTTGTACCAACTGGATATCGCAAATATGACTTTTTTCATTGTGTGGTCCTCCTTTCTTCAGACTTGCAAAAAGCTCATTGTATTAACTTTGTGATACAAACACACTGCTTAGCAAATTGCTTTGACTAATATAATTTAGGGCTCTAACACAAATCTCTTCACATGCAATATCCAAGTACATTTTTGCCTGGTTTGCTAAATAATGCTAAATAATCTAGTGTTTTATTTATGCATCTTCAGAATAGTTTTCTGGGAAGGTGGGAGGAAAAATTATTTTTCTGTTGATTTATTTATATTTAAGAAAAAAGAAAAATATATTTTCTGCTTGTACACTAAGAAAAAAGAAAAAAGGTTCACCATATTATTAAACTAAAAACTGAAGCATGATGGCTCTTTTTTAGAGTAGGTGAATTTGAAACCTTGCTGTCTAGGGAAGTGGCATTTGAGGACCCAGGAAACAAATTCTTGACTTGTTATTTTCACTGAGTAAGGTCTTTTACTTAAACTGAAAATTATACACAGCATCCAATTATATACTCTACTAAGATTTTCTTCAGGTGTCCTTTTCAGCTTTCTTATCTGAAAGCTCTATTTAAATTCAACACCCCCACACCCCTCAAACAGTTTTCTGTCAATTACTTACGCCCTCTTACAGAAACAGTGGATATATAATGAGAGAGGTAATTGCAAAAACTCTCTGTAGGTATGATTGTGAATGTCTACACACAGTATAAAAGAACTTTGAATTATGAAGCAATAAAACATATTGGAAATACTTGAAAACAATCTGAACAATCTGAAATAAAACTAAATGGTTCTGAGACATAAGACAAGAGACCAAAAAATGTGTCTTCATTAGCTGAAGACTGACTTGGAATAACCATATCAATCACAGTAATTACTGTGCATTCTGGGCTTGAGATTTAAGGTTTATATCTTATCTCTTAATATCAGAACAATATTTATTGCTAAAAATCAAATATACTATTACAGTAGTCTTAATTAAAATGAAACACAGACATATCAGAACTCTTTTGCTTCTGTTTTTGTTGTTTTTTTTTTTTTTAATTGCTGTTGTTACTGTTGTTTTTGTTTAATTCCAAAAGCAAGAAGGTGGAAATAAGACAAACATACAAAGACTGAAAGGATATAGTGACCACACGAAAGGCTGGATGGTAAAAGCAATGAGCAGAGGCAATTACTGCCAGATGAAGATTTGTCCCACCAGATACAGGTATTATATTTATAATATGTTATACTACTTGTCTATCTCATTTGAACTTTCAAAGAAATAGTAAACAATTACCTTTCCCACATACTGAGGTTCAGAGCCCATGTACTCCTCCAGCACAAAAAATTGATTCCACACCCAGCCTCGCTTGACTCGCTGGACAGATGATCTCCTCTCTGGCACTGGGACATTTTCTCTTGGCTGTGCTTCTAAAATCTCTTGTGGTTGTGTATGCAGTGGTGTTAGGAGACCTCCATCAAACAGGACCCAGAGAAGCAGGGATAAGCAGTTCCTTGTGAGCATTGGCAATGGCTTCCCTACCGCAAGTAATAAAAACTCCAGCACTTAATGCAGAGCAGAGGAATCCAGGTTTGAGGTGTCTGTGGCCTTCACCACTTAGCTTCTGATTTTATTGCAGAAATGCTAATGCAGGCATTAATCCTTCTGATGACAAGGTATTTGCCGCAATAAATTCCATCTATAGGGACCTATAAAAGAGATTTACATGCAACATCAAATTACATAGGATTACACTGAAGCATTCATCAAAATTCTCACACCTAGTTAGTTTCTAGAGACAGAGAAAAAGATTAAGAATCGCAGTTTAAAAGAGATTGCTATTTTCATTGTAGCACTGAGCTGCTCTAGAACATTGTACAGTTATTACAGGAATATCTAATTCTTGCTCTGCTTAGTATTACCTTTGTGTCTGTCTGAGACAGGGCTGTAGCCTTTGCTTTAGGATCAGTTATCAAACAAAACTGTTTCTCACTAGTGATATCAAAAATGTTTAGTCCACATTTACAAACAAAATACTGGAGAATAGGGGGTCCACTCTTTCACACTACTGTTCAGAGCAGGAACCCTTTGCTCACTTTCTCTGCTAGAAAAGCCTATTGAGATCTTCTCTACAGTGTGCTGGTTGACAGCATATAAAAAATGACTGCCTGTAGAATTTAAGATAGATGCATTTTACATTTTAAAAACAAAAATACAATTTACAGCATTATGGAATTCACCACTTTGTTAGGGTTATATTGTGCCATTGATTTTTAAGCATAGGTTTCTAGGAAATCAATAGAGTTCTGCTTAAAAATCAATGACATGATATGGACCTCAAAAAAGGAGAATAATAAAGCACTTAACCATATATATTTTTCATTTTCAAATACTGCCAAAGGTTGTATTTTCCTTGTGAATAATATTATTGCTATCCACAACAATAGAAATTCTTATTTCTTATGTACATGCTGAAGTATTTAAATAGAAAGAATTTATAATCAGGAACCTGGAAAACTTTAGTCTTTAAAAAGGAAAAAAAAACACCCAAGAAGTATAACTGTACTTCCTATGCTAAATTTAGGGTCAGATTTTCTGTTCTAATTTGAAAGGGTCTTAATAAGAAATAAAGGTCTTAATAAAAAATTAAGTAAAAAATAAAATAAAATACATGGTGAAAGGTATCTACTCAGTGTTTTAATTCTACATTCAGAAAGGAAAATAGATGAGGAAAGCACTCCCATCTGCTCAGAATCCTTTAAATAAAAGTTTTTCTATGTTCAAAACATTTCAATTTTTTTCATCTACAGCAAAATATTCTTTTGTGTAATGGGTAAAAACTTCTTATTTGCACAATCATTTGCAGTCTGTGGATTTTATTCCATCAAAGAAACTTTAAGGCACAACCCAACCACAATAGAGATCTGCATTTAATATATAGGGCATGAATTTATTTTTTAATGAGTAGCTCATGTGGTTTTCTGCTTCTCTTTTTAATGCATTCAATGATATATATCACATTTAGACTGTGTTTATCCATGTTTCAGTTCCAAGATTTCAAAACCTTTTGGCCTCTCCTGATCCATGGCTGCGGAGTGCATGCCTCCTTTTCGTGGCAAAATCATAGCAATCATGAAGCATAGCAAAAAAAAAAAAAAAAAAAAAAAAAAAAAAAAAAACAAAAACAAACCATCAACTCAACATATCCTTTTGAATTCCCCAGACATAAGTGGGAGGTGGAAACAAATATTAAAAGAAGGGGTGGGATAATCTGAGCTGCTTCAGAAATGCCAAAATCATGTTGTAGCCAATTTAATTGCCATACCACTTCTCTTTGCTGAGAAGTCTCTGTACATTGCAGTTCTCCCAGCAGAGCTCTGCCTCCGGCCATGTCTGTCAGTCAGGGAGCTTTTAAAATGTTATACAGTACCAAAAGTAATGCAAAGAGATTGAAAGACTTCAATGAAAGTAGAGCAATTCCCCCTCGGCTGGAAGGTTAGTAACCAAGTGCAAGACACAGAGCACTTTAACCCTTCTCCATTGGTCTCCCAGAGAGCCTCTCAGAATGCCTACTGCAGAGTCAGGAAAGAGCAATGCCAGTGCTTGCTTCATTTCCTATAGCTTCAAAAAGATGATGAATGGGAGGGTCAGAGAAGAATGGGAGGCTAATGGATGTTGCAGTACAGGACTGTAGCACAGATGCCCTCATCAGCTGCAAAAGATTTCAACATGAAGAATTTCTTCCTTTTTATTTTTTTTTTCTCTCTTTTTTTTTTAACTGAGGTAGAAGATTCTTCCCCAGAAGCTTCTTCTTCCCCATAATTTCATTGCTGGCTTTGGAGGAGGCTTGGTCTGATAGAACATATTTTATAGCACCATTGGAACTGGTACAAGAATTCAAAGGCTAATATATTTCTTTTGGTCTGTGCCAATTGGTTTGCATTTTCTTTTTTAAGCTATGGATGTCAAAACCTGTCTTAGTGTTTTTATATTGTCAAATATATGTACCTCTTATCAGAAAACTACTAAGACAACTAGGAGACAAGGATTTAGAAATCTAATCAGAACAATTAACCATAAGGAAGGTACTATGTTTCCTAAATGTTTAGGGTTTCCAGTGATGCTCATAAAGAAATACTTATCCAGTGAGATAGCTGTGAACAGACATGCACCCTCATTGCATCTCTTTCCTATATATTGCAAAAGTACAGATGGTCAGATTTTTCTTAGATCTTGAGGTTTTTTCAGTGTTAGCTGATGCTACTCATTTCTTCAAACTATCTTGTATGGATTTAAGTACCATTATGCATGATCTAATTAACTCATACAGGGAGTTACAAATGGATATCCTGTATGAATTTAGCCCCACACATGCTTTTATAACCTGAGATTACATTTATTCATTTCCTCAGTTTGATAAAGGGAGATAAATGACCTAGCAGCAATTATGGACAGTCTATTAGTACACTATTATTAAAAAAACTTGATCAAAACTGCAGGCTTAGAAACTCATGAAATTCAAATGGTGAATAAAATATCACTACTATTATTATTTATTAGGAATAAAAAGATACAGTAGAAATTGTGCTCCTGCGAAAATTTTGATTCTGACCTGGGCTATACTGCCATTAGTCTAAAGAGCCTGAGCAAAGAAATGCTTTGGCATACAAAACTGATGCATGCCATTGCTGCTGCCACAAGCCTTAATCAATGGGAGTTATGGTAGTGCACACACAAATCACCTCACCAAGCTTGGCAAAGGTTATCCCTTGTAGAGACAACAGCCATAGGCCCTCTGCAATCACTAGTATGCACATAAGGCCTCATGTAGAGAAGTATTTGAAAAGAAACTCTAAATGATCTTTGATTTTGTCATGGTCTAATCCCAGTCAACAGCTCAGCCCCAGCTGCTCACTCACTCATGCCCAGTGGGATGAGGGAGAGAATAAAAAGTGTAAAAGTGAGGAAATTCGTGGCTTGAACTAAAGACAGTTTAATAGATAAAGCAAAAGCTGCAAATGCAAGGAAAGGAGAACATGAATTTCATTTACTCTTTTCCCATGGGCAGGCAGATTTTCAGTCATCCTCAGGAAAGCAGAGCTCCATAATACATTGTGATGACTTGGGAAGACAAATGACATCACTCCAAACTTTCCAACTTTTCTTCTTCTTCTTCTCCCATGTTCCCCAGCTCTATATGCCGACCATGATGCCATATTTTCTGGAATATTCCTTCAGTTAGATTGGATCAGCTGTCCTGGCTGTCTGCCCTCCCAGTTTCTTGTGCACCCTCAGCCTCCTCACTGGTGAGGTGGGATGAGAAAAGGCCTTGACTACATTAGCAGTATTTTAGTAATAGCTAAAACATCTCCATGTTGTCTAGACTGTTTTCTGGAAAATTCAGAGCACAGCCCCATACTGGCTAATATGCACAAAATTAATTCTATTCCAGTCAAACTCAGTGCAGACTTGTATGATGTATCTACTTGGATCAGACCACAGATGCACTACTGTCACATGGAGTCAAGAAGGAAACACTAAAGCTCCATGATGCACTCAAAACTGTCATCAGTCCAGCAAGGCTGGTAATTGAACCTCCATGAATGGAGGGAAATTGCTTACTGACAAAGTGTCCATTATGCACTGATGCTGGGAATATTTCTACAGCCACCTTAACCATAAATTTATTAGCATAGGGAATGCTTTAGCTCATGTGAAATAAGAGCTAATGCAGAGCAACCATCTCCCTACTGATAAAGAGGTTTGAAAAAGCTTGGCGGTACTGTGAGATGGTTGATCGTGCCAGCAGGAAAGCCAGATAACATCTATAACTATGGATATGCTGTAGGAGCTGACCATGTAGTCTTGTTTATCTGCAATGTCTTGGAATAAGAAAATAAAACAACAGGATAAACAAGACCATGTTTTGGATATCTATTAAAATTAACTGCTAAAGTATTTGAGATTATATATTTTCTGATTAAAGAACAGGTAAAAGGATATGGTAAATCCTTCGCTGAGTTTAAACAAATCAGGTGGAAATCCTCAAAGTTATTTAATTAAACAAATACTATTGGATTAGACTCTAAATGACCATACTTCTTTGTGAGTTTGACCTTCTTGAGCGTCACAACCTATCTAGACACTGCAAATAAAAGTAATTCTTCCTTTTTCCCACCTGGTCATTTTTTGTTAGGTTGGGAACTACTTGGTAATATCAAAAGAGGGGTTAGGAGAGAGATTACAAGTAAACAGATGACCCTCAAATCCTCAAACTAGCAAAGAGTTTAATTCTCAATCTGTCCATCCTACAAGTCACAAGACTTTCAAAAGATTAAGCAGGTCCCATCTCTGCAGCTACTACAACCACCACAAGAAAAACATCTAGAATCCATGTCAGATAACTGTCATGGAGAAAAAAAATAATATCAGTGTTTCTACCTGCTGGAGTCTTATCATGATCCAAAACAGTTATTCCTTTATCTCCCTTTGTGTGAGATTCAATAAGCTGTATAAACTGTCCTCGTTTAACATCTGTCAGCAAACAAGCACCACACAGCTGCTCACTCACTCCCTCCTTCAGTCAGGAGGATGGAGGCAAGAGAATTGGAAGAATAAAAGTAAGAAAAAACATGTGGGTTCAGATAACAGTTTAATAACTGAAATATAATTAAAATATTAATAAT